TGGCGTTTGGTTTGCACATCGGAATCGGATTCAGATTCGGAATCGGATATTCTGGGTTTGGAATGAGGTCATTCATTCCAATATATTTGTTTGGTTCAAGTACTTGGAATGTGTATCATTACTATAGTTAATATTTGGTTCAACGACTATTTCGGAATACAATATAATAAATATATTATAAACCACATCGTAAATGATAGTTATTAACTCTTTGTAAATGGAATATAAGAAATTTTCACTAATTAAATATATTAGTATAAATGTATTAGTAAATTTAGTCTAACTAATTAATAATTTCTATTAGCAAACATGTATAATTATTAGTATAATTGATAATATTAATTATATTGCATAAATTAATATACATTATATAATACATATAGCTAATAATATTATTATTATAAGTTTGTAACTAATTAAATTAAATATTATATATATAATTAAATATAAATATACAAATGTTATAATATAAATATATAATTATAATTATATAATACATACAAATATTAATTATACTAATATTTTATATAAATATACTACATATTACATATTAAATATAGTTATTATTATATATTATTATATTTAAAATAATAAATATAAATATAATTATATAATTTATTAATATTATATACATGTATATATTATAATTATATGCACATATAATATACATTTATAAATATACATATATATTAGAAATATATTATTATATAATATTAATAAATTTATAATATATATTTTATATAAATATAATTATATTTAACTAAATAATTGTAATATATATTTATATAATATACTAATATTATAATAAAATATTATAATTATAATATATTATACATGTGAGAACCCGTAAAAAAAAAACCCTAATCATTTTCTTAGGGTTTTAGTTCCCTTAATTGCATGTTTTCTGCATTTTCTGGTTTAGAAATATTTTCTTGGTGGATTTTATGAGCAATTATAGTTTTTAGATAATTTTTCTAGTATTGGAGAGTTTTTGAAAAAAATTAAGAATATATTGGACGTGGGACCCACTAGTGCGAAAAGTTCGGAAAAATTCGGCCAATAAGGTTAAGTTTCAGATACTGTGTAAAATTTATCGGGTGTTAAGAGATAAGTAGAGAGTGAGATTTGAATGATGTGAGAGAAAACAAAAGGATTGACATGCATTAATGGAGTGCCAAATGTCACTTGTTGGTTGGTTTTGACTTAAGAACACTATTCACCTTTTTTGACTTTTGACCAAAATTGGTTAAATATCTAAAAATTTCACAAAAAATCACCATTTTCTTTCACCTTGTGGCCGGCCCTCTCTCTTGCCAAGAAGGAAGAAAACTTCTTCAATCTTCAAGCTTGCCACTAGCTCAAATCATCCAAACCAATCACACAAACTAGTTTCCACTCCATACAATCTTTCCATTTAGTATTAGTGGTGAGTTTGGTGAAGTTTTTGGAAGAGTTAAGGTGGTCTACAACTCCTCTTCTCTTGTTTTCTAGGTAAGTGATGATTGAACATCCTCTTATATCTAATGATACTTATTTTGTGCCTAATGGTGGCTTGGGTGATGGAATGTGTGATTTATTTCTTGATTTGAAGTGATTTGGTGAAATTTTTATTTTATTGAGGAATTTTCTGGTTTAATATGAATGGGATGTTGTGGCTATTTTTGATGATTGGCAATGGCTTATAATGACTCTAGTAGGTGTGAATTATTGATAATTGCAATCAATTTTGGGTTTGGATTGAAATGAGAAAAGTTAGGGTTGATAACCCCTAATTCTGTCCGGTTTTGGATCATAGGGTTAGAGGTCGAATTGGACTTTGCTCAAAACATGAAAGTTGTAGGTATTGATGAGTTTGAAGTGCCTGCAAAATTTCAGGTCATTTGGATTAGTGTAGAGTGAGATATGTCGATTTTACTGTTGCTGTTCTGGGTTGATCAGAATGCGAAAACTGCACTTGTAATTGGCCATTTTGACTGGAATTGCTTTGGATTTGGATGTTGGTGTCTTCTGATGAAATGTAGCTGAATGTCTTAGCTATCATATGCCCTTGGAATCAATGCATTTGGACTTGTATAGACTGAGTTGTACTGATTACAGCATTGTGTGATTTGTAAACCTGTTTTTGGTGGTTCTGGTGTAGTATTTGGCATATTTGACCTAGTTGTGCTAGGATTTGGATTGAGTGGCCTTCTACATTGTTGTAGCCCTGTTTCATAGCTTCGAAACGGTGGGTCTTACACCCCCATCCGATAATCGTAGTGGACTTGGTGCCATTACCGCATAATGGAGTTAAACACGGTTTCCTTATCAAGGCCTAAGTTAAAGCCATTCCTTAATTTCTGGTTATCTATGATGCCTATTTATGCATATGAAACCCTATTAGGGTTATAATTGGCATGGCTATATGACTCGTTATCGAGTCTCATTGCATTTGTTTGCATGATTCTAGGGCGTGACGGTAGTGCACGACGGATTGGTGACCACGGTGTACGAAACATCACTTACGTGGTTGGTGAGTATACTACTCACTTAAATGTTCTAATGTGGCTTTGCTATATGTGGTTGTGTTGCCTTGAAGGCTTATTTGGATATTGTAATTGATTAAGGTGAGGGTGTACTTGACCGCCCTCACCCCTTTTGATAGTATCACTGATTGTCTACTGCTTCACTGTCTTACTGAACTTGATATATGAGTTATTGCATTCCATTTCATGGAAGCTGATTTGGTGTTGTTTGGACGAATGTCCAACGACCTTACTGTATCACTGAGCTCAACTCCGTTAGGTAGTCAATTGGATCGAGCCGGCGAGGGCTTGGTCGTGATAATTGACATGCCACGGGGACTGTACTGGGGAATCTTGTAGTAATGAGACTCTTGATTCCGGTAAACTCGAGTATTACCAAAATGATTGAATGGAGTGCAGGCCCGGTTGGGGAATGTTGGGTGGAAGGAATGGAAGTAAAGAATTGTCTACGGTTGGTTTTTTTTAACATTGACGGAGGGTCAATGAGGTTGGATCAAGAATATAAACGAGGAAATGGGCTCTTGAGAGCCGTCCGTATCCTTTCACTGATTTGATTTACTTCTTATTTGCATACTTGAACTGAACGGTTATGCTTATGTGATATTAGTTGCTATGGTGGTTGTATTCTCACTGGGCATTTAGCTCACCCCGTTTCTTTTATTTTCCTTACAGGAATATGACTCTTTTGGAATGAAATTTTGTTAAATGGTTGCCGAATGAACTAGATGAATGCCTCTTTTGTATTGTATATAAAATAGGACCCTAAATGTATCATTAGGGCCGTTTTCACTTTTGTTTTGGCAACCCACATATGTAGTGACTTTTGTATCACTTTTAAATGCCATTGTGGCTTGTAAATGGTTAATGTTATGTTGTATATGTATTTCGATGTTTGGTTGGGTTTCGGACGGGTCGGTTACCATTCATGGCCGACTCTGGATTTCATTTCTTTTATGTTGGGTTATTTTGCCCTTTTGCCTTGTTGCGCGCATTATAAGTTTCAGAACGTGATAGATCGCTTTATATTGCACCGTTAGTCCTGGCGAGAGTTGGGCAGACAGTCCGCTAACCTCTTTGGTTCGCCTTAGGGGAAGGTGGGGCTGTCACAATACATATGTATATATTATAATATAAATATATTATATATATAATATATATATAAATATTAATTATACTAAATATTATGTAATTACAAGATTTTGAAATCACACTTGAATTTTGGACACAACCCACCTTTTTACTAGGGAATGGAGGAATACCAAATTTTTAGAAATCATTCCAAAATTTCAATTTCCATACCAGAAACCAAACACCAGTTATAAAGTTTATTCCATTACTTCATTCCGATACCCTTTTACCAAACGCCCCCTAAGTTTAGGCACATAGTTTGTGGCATGAGATGAGAGCCTAAATAATGTGGCATGAGACGAGAGCGATGAGCAAAGCATTTACTAGTTGTGATTGCTCCAGCTGAAATTGCCATGATTACGATAAGTTTCGAAATAAGTCAAAACTACGTGATGGAACCGGCAATTAAGTTGTTTCAACATCTACATGTATTGCATAATGCATTCGCATACTGGCCGATACATTTGCTGTCAATCATCTACAGTGCAACAGTATTACAACGTTGAATTCTCAAGTCCCTTGATTCCAGGGCGCGATGATACCGATGACACAGACTTAGAGAAACACAGCTTGCATTCGGCTAAAATACACTTATCAATCTATGTGGGCTCTTTATCTTGTAGTTAAATATCTTTTCATTAATATCTCTCGGAATTCTTTTCCTTGCGTTTCTTTCGTATTTGCAGTTCCCAAAAGCCATTCAGTTGCTGTATCCCTACATACCAAAAGAAGTTTTTTCCAGTAGATTTCCTGTTTCCGAACAGAATGCAAACATATAATTTCTCACGGATCTTGGAGGGACATCAGTATATACAAATACAAAGGCGCCAGTGCAGCATTCAATCTTGAAATTCACTCCAACTCTTTAACAGAAAGACTAAAATAACCAGCAGAGGACAGCAAAATTAATCATTTTCTTTTGCAGAGTTTCCAAAATACGGACTGGAATACGTGCACTTCTTGAATTTGTCAAGAAGATCGAAGCTTTAAAAATCATCAAGGATATGTGCACCTATTAGCAACGAAATCAAAAGCCATACCAGGGGAATGGTATATATCAAACTGGGCAAGTCAGCCATCCCAGTAAACATCAAACTACCATCCATATCCATAACAAATATATTGGGCATGACACTAGTTGCTTATGTTTAAAGCTGCAATCAATTTCAAGGCAGGCTGACAACATATCCATTACTAGAGGAATAGCAAAAAATACTAAATAGCAAGACCCTGTAGAAGCAACTAAGACAAATGAAAGACCAGAAGAATATAAACACATGCGTGCACAATACATACACACACACATACAACCTGTATTTCCCAACATTAGCTTTCCGAATCATTCCATAATGAAAATAAACTTGGATGAAGTTGGGGATTGAGAAGTGAGGAACTGTAAACTATTTGGATTCATCCCAGTTTAGGGAAACTATGGTTCTAATTCTAAAACTTCAATTTAAGCACACACTTCCATGACTAATTTACAACCAGTTTCCATGCAGCCTCATTAAACACAAAACAGACTGTATCGAGTAAAGAAGTCAGCATCCTCTAATTCACAAAGTAATCAGGAGACAATAGATGGCCAACATTCAGTACAACATATATGTGCCACAAGCTTAAAATGAGAGATGTCAATCTCAAACCCACCTCAAATAGCAGCTTTGTAGATCCTCACAATAGACACACAAATCTTCACTACTGCCAAATTTGTCAATTGAGTCAATTAATCAACTCTTAAATAGAACCGCAGCTACCTTCTTCCAACACCAGAAGCATCCAATACAAAGTACACTGCATCAAACTTAGCATTTTTCTGACCCAAAATAACAAGGAAAAAGTAAAAACATGTAAAGCAAATATACATTCAGAGCAAAATAATACCCACCAAGTCAAGGACATGCAGGCAAACAAATTTCCTAAGATAATCCAATTTAAAGAACCTCGACCCTTGCTGAAGTAGCCATTAAACATGCGCTACAAGTTGATACGAGAAATATATTATGTGTTATATATATCCTAACTACTTTTGCATATCTTTGATGTATCAGGCTGCAATTGTATACTCCCCACTTTCACCAAAAATCATGGGGCACCCCAAGTCCTTTCAAATTCCAGAGAGATGTACAGGAGCTGAACTTACATTGCGCAATAATGACATCGCATTCAAAGAGACAAATTTAGTACTTTCACTCTTCCTTTCAGCAATCTCATTGTCTTTTTCTGTGTTGGTGCAAGTGCCAGTGTACAGCCAGCACGAAATGTACCAAGGATGCGAGGATGTGAGGAGACAGCCAGAAAAAGGGGAAATTTTAATTAATAATCATAATGAACAACATTGTACTCTGGTGGGGAGATTCCTAGGCAAAGGAAGAGCAGTAACATATCTCTGAGGATGGGGTTTCTGAGTATTAGCAGCTGCATTAGACGAAGATGCAGCCTCATTATTGTCAGCCTGCCCTCGTCCATGGAATTTAGCAAAACGATTAATCACCGAGAACTTCTCTAGATCTTGACATTCCACTACCAAGTCCAAAACTGACACTCTCTTGTCCAACCTACATCAAAAGATGCAAAGAATTAGGGCAGGAAACCAGAAACATGATAAGAACCTCGCCACCAACCCGTTGACCCAAAAAAGAAAAATTGCCCAACAGAAAGCACATTTGTCAGAGAACAAAGGTTTTTTTTTCTTTTCGCCCAAGGGGTTGGGGGAGGTAAGATAGCAAGAAACCAAAATGCAAAACTGTAGACAAACTAATAATCCTGGCTCCTTTTTTCTTCTTTTTTTTTGTTTGGGGGGGGGGGGGGAACTAAGTGGAAGGTCTTGAACCCAAATCCCTCCCCCCTTACCACCCAGCCCAACCCTCCACACCCCCGGAAAAAAAAAAAAAAAACCTTGGCTCTAACATCAAAATTGTGGCACTAATAAAAAAGCAAGTAAATTGGTGTATTTTCAAATTTCTTGGACCAAATGAAGTAATATAATGTTTTCATTTAATTCACTAATCCTCTCCCCCCCCCTCCCCCTTCCCAAGACATAATCTTGCAACTAATATGCGCTTTAATTCATCATTATTTTTGTCCTACTATAGTCAATGTGCAAAGCTGTAAGGACTGTGACCATGTTTTTTGAAACAATACAAGTCAAAAACTACATTCTGAAGGGCAAAACTGCTCATACATTTTAGTCAAACAGATTATCAGGGAAGTATGTTGACCATTTTACAATCAGATTAAAAGATAGAATGAAATTGTAAAGAAGCAAAATTTTCTTGGAAAACAGACCACCAAGTTCAGAAATTGACTGATAGATCAGACACGCATCTAGTATCCAAAACTCGAGTATGCACTGTTTCTCCTCTACCATGATGAATCAATTGATTTAATGTTTTTAGGTTAGCCAAATGTTTCAAGGTGAACTCATGTGCATGCCTTTGCTATCTTTCACACAAATGAACAGCTAATTATGGATTTGAATATGCTACAAACTTAAAGAATCAGCAGAGACAAACAAAGTCCTCTCAGCAGAAATGGACAAAATTGTTAAAGCAGATGGATCCAAATATAATCCACTCAAAAGTAAAAACTATTACAGCCAACATACACCTTTCTCCGTACTCGTTAAATTAGATCCTTCGGAACCATCCTGCAGAAACCAAAGCTTAACAAGATGAAGATGCAAAAATTACCGCAAAAATTCATCTTCAAGCCTTCTTGCTCTTGCTGTGAAATCATCCATGACTTTCAACAGAAGCTGATCTTCAACGCTTTCTGATGTTCTGCATTCATCAATATCCCTAGAGAGTCATTTGAAATTGAAGCCATCAGAAATACAATAAAATGGCGAATAATCAACAACTGCTGTTATGTCACTCATGTGACTAAAAAACTAGCATAGCATTAAAAAAAAAAAAAGTTATTACCTGTTTATGCTATCACGTAGCATATTGGACTTGTCATTTGTGAGTGAGACAAGACTGCATGCATCACCTAATGCTAATCTCGAAATCGAGTAACCCACACTCTCATACTCTAAATTAGCATCCAGAGACAGTATTGCTGCTGGTGGAGGGCGAAGTAATTTTTGCATAAGCTGTGTTGTCAAGATAAGCCTTCTTTTTGGTTTAAGCATCAGTGATCCATCTTCCATCAATTCAACATCATCTTCAACCTATAATGACAAAAGAAGCCACCAGAGCTTGAAACCATGTAAAGAAATAAATAAATTCACAAAAAAGGATCTATTCAAAAACACCACCACACCTTGTCAACAAGTCGGTTTGCTGCTTTAGCCCACCCAATCTCTGCCATGCTGTCAGCAGTCAAAACCACAAGAATTAGTGGATAAGAAAATCAAGTTAATGCTTTTCTTCAAATAAAAAATGTATTTTCTTCTATTCTGTTTCCTTTTTATATATAGAAATGGCAAGTGGCATCCGTTGAGTACAAAATTACTGTGTTTTTCTTCTAAAACTCATTAATAGGTCCCACTAACGATACACACCTGATATTTTTAAGACATCGGGAACCTTGTGACACTTCTTTGTGCCAGGGATTAAGTTCATAAGTGGCACTCTTGCGCTTCTTGGTTTTCGATATTACTGGATGCTGACCACTGGCAATGGAAGGCAAAATCTGAGAAGATAAATACTCGGCTGCTAGTGAGGGGGTTGCTGTATGCCTGATGCTACCAACTTGATTCGTTTCCACAGCAGCAGCACTCGATGGCTCCATTGAATTGAGGGTGTGCAAGCCACTGGAAGATTTTCCAAGAGTGTAAGGCTGTTCCCCAGTCTTAAAAATGGCAGGTTTGCGTGCATCATACATAGGCAAGATCTGCCCATTTTTGAAGGTTCCATACTGATTAAACCAGGAAGGAGCCATCTGGGGACTGATCTTAGAGTGGTCAATTTTGGTCGAGGCAGCACTATTACTGCTCTGAGAACCATCTCGACTAAATGCAAGCACACTCTGAGACGCTATATTACCATGTTCAGAAGCAAGATTCCTTTCCATACTATTTTCAGGTGCTGAGAAGCTCAGCATGGTAGGATCTACAGAAGGAAGTGTCTTCCGGGGAACTAATGCATCTCCAACGACAGCAGTGAGATCATTTGATTGCCCAGCTATAGGAGGTACAAGCTGACCACCTAGACCATTATCTGATCCTTTCATTCTTTTCAAGACCCTAGTGCTTGGATCGTCGTCTGCACTCTTCATGGCCTGCATTTGGTTCAACAATGAATAATTTTGCTGAAGCAAGTTATTTGGTTTCAGAGACCGGCCAAAGGCTTCAATATCTCTTTGCGTTGACACAGAATTTGCAGGAGATCCATCTGATAAAGTCCTTACAATGGGTTCCTTTCCCTGTGATTCATTCATCTTCTGAACAAGGTTCATATTTTCTGAAGAAGGTAGCTGGCTAGCACGTTCCTTTGTAAGCTGTTCTTCCTCAGAACGGAAGCCTTGTGCATTCACACAATTTGCACCAAACTCAGATTGAAGGTTTCCTTGTTTACCATCTTGATCACATTGATTTAGAGAAGCAGAAGTTAAATTTCCAACATTCATTTGATTTGACTGGGGAAATTGTGAAGACACCTTACGATACTGAGCACCCAATAAATGTTGTGCTGCAGTGACATTGCTCCACATATTTGGCAATGCTTTAGAGGAGGTGCCTTGCAGAGAAGTATTAGACACAGTCGAAGGCTGAGAAACAAGTACAGGCTTGCCAGCTGAAACTTGTGTGGCTAGAATTTTTCCAGGCAGAATGTTTGTACTGATTTGCTTGGTACCTGATAAAACAGAGTTACCTTGAGGAATGCTCGCAGCCTCATTAGGAAAAGAGGTCTCCAAAGATTGACTAGATCTTGACAACCGTCCACTAGCCCAAGCAATCTCTTGAATTTGTAGCTGACCTCTTGAATGAGGAAAACCAGAATTAAACGGTGAAGAGAAGTTTCCAGTCATATTATATGGGGAGCTTTGACTGCCCGTCTGACTAGGTACTCCAGCTCTATTATTCTCTCCAAGCGATCTTTCACTGGAAGAAGGCATAGACTGAACAAAAGATGAGGGAACCAACGGTGCTTGACCCTTCTGTCCAATTTCAGATGCCGCATGGGTGGTTAGAAGCAAGGAGCTTACGCCCTGCAGGGAGTTTTGAGAGGACAAGGACTGGCTTGGTATTGGCAGCCGTTGCATTGGAGGACCAAGTTGTAAACCAAAGCCCTGAGAGTTGGAAGACTGGCTCCGTTGAAGCCGACTAACAGACCCATCAGAGTTTTCTGCTTGAGCTGTCTCAGATGCTGCATTGGGCTCAGAAGCAATGGCATGCATCATAGCAGCATGCTCCCTTGACTGATCAACCTTGTGAAGTAGCTCTAGCATGTTTCGACTACAACAACGATCACAGCAGTGAATGCATTCAAGTACAAATACAAATTAGTGAGGGAAAAAGAAATGAGCAGTAGAATAGAACTTAAAAACTGCAGCAAATCATGAACAAGGTTCCTGATATAGAAGATTTTTTAAGTTTTCATTTACCAAAACATGCCAAAATATAATTCAAAACCAAATCAATTACCTCGATTGAGAAGTCTTGTCTTGTGTGCCTAAATCCAAAGATCTGTTGAATGGAGAAGATATATTAGGAACTGAACCGGGGAAGTTGCCTGGGGAGTGCACCTCATCAAATCCTATGTTGTTCCTTTGCATATCAGCTGATTGCCCCTATAAATCAATATTATCCAATTTAGCATGTGTGGCAATTAACACATGTATTACTCATGACTAAAGTGTAATATATTCACCTTTTCTGTGTCAACTGAATTTTTTGGCACCTGACTGAATAACTTTGACTGCCCAAAATGAGAGGCAGGCTGTGAATGGATTGGCTTTTTTGATCCACAAGGAAGTTCAACATCATCATCCAAGTTTCCCATGGGATGAAATTGAAACTTCCGAGAAGTCAGATTTTTCCTAGCCATTTGATTGGATGACTTTTGATTGCCAGCAGACAAAGTCCTTGAATCAATAGCATCTGCAGCAGCATTTTCCTTTTGACCACCAGCGGAAGTATGGTGGGACATATTAGAGCGGTAGCTGTCGTTAGAGTTCTCCTGTTTATCACTATTCTCCATATCATGCCCTCTACCTTCCTCCTTACTAGAGCAAATCTTATTCCCATGCTGTGAACCTCCTAGAACTTCACCAGCTTTATAATTAACCAATGGATCAGCATTTTTCCAAGAATTGAGATGATAACTGTTCGGAAGAAACTGACTACTTCCCTCACCAGCCCTTATGGTACTTGAATCCGATAATGCAGCAGCATTATTTGATCGAAAGCCCTCTTTATTCAATTGGGAACTTCTCAAGGCAGATTTTACCTGCTCCATTTCAGATGCTGCATCACGACCAGAATGAGAGTTAAACAGGGCTCCACCATCAACCACTTCCCTATGCATAGTTTGCTTATGATCATTGCTTTGAGAATGTTGCAGTGAGTTTTCAGTCCCTTGAACAGTTACTCCCGCATCTTCATAGGGTGCTACGGACCCAAAAACATTCCAGCCGTTTGGTTTATTTAACAGTTGTCTAGATGCACTGCTCTCAGCATCAAGAGAATGAGATAGATTTCCATGCAATTGACTCCCTTCAGCACCAGACTTCAGAACTGGAATACCATTTGACCACCTTCCACCATCTGCAGAGGACTGATCAAGTCCTTGAGAAGGATTTGCCTGCAGTCTTTGAGCAGTTTCATATGAAAATTTGCGTTCAAATTGCTGGAATCCCAGGGCATTCTGATAGTTTTTCACCACGTTTGAGTCACCTGATGGAGGAGCGGTTCCCGAAGCAAAAGATGATGCCATGGGCAAATGGTCATTGGCCAAAGGTGTCTGCAGCTTCCTACCATCATCACATGACAGTACATGCTGATTCCCTGAAGGAATATCATTATTTTGAAACGTTAAACCACTCCATTCTTCTTGTAACCCAGTGTCACTACCAGAAGTTTCTGCAACAGCAGACTGCATAAGAGCACTCCAAGTGCCACTTTGAATGGAAGAAAATCCACTCAATCCTGCACCATCGAACGGATTAGAGCCCTCTGCCCCCATGTTAGGGCCCTTTCCAAAGGCAGCCCAGATATCATCTGAACCATACAAAATCCGCTCTTCTGTAGGATCTAAGGTAACATCATCCCTTGAAGCAATATCTTGTCTCTCTGTTTTTCCCTGCAGGGTCTCAGGTGGAACCAGTTGTTCCTGCCTCCGACGGAATTCCCCTGTCTGTTCATTTCTCTGCATGGAGTTCGCTTGGTGGACATTCTCCATATCTATTCCACTACCTAAAGCTTGACCAGAACCATGTCCAAAAGAATTTTCAGCTTGAAATCTCTGCCTAGCAATCGAATTCCTATCCTGCATACTAACTTGACCAGGAAATGCTGTATACTGGTTACCAGGAAGAGAGTTACCAAAGCTTACTTGTTGCTGAGCTGAAGGTTTTTCTGTCACCATCTGAGGATATTGATTTAGACTGCCTCTGGAGCTAGATATAGGAACTCCATAAAGAGATTGTTCAACCTGTTGAGGAACTAAATCTACCATTCGCTGTGTCTGACCTTGATTGGGTGAAAAAACAAGTCCATTTGAGGATCCTTGCATAGCTGGTGGATGCTGCTGCACCCAGTTTGCATTACCAAACTCACTTGCCCAATGGTAACCCAATGCATCAGAGTTGACAGCACTGCTAATCAGAGGAGTGGGTTGGCTACCAGATGACTGTTTGGCAAAGGGAGGCATCTGATTAAGTAGACCCTGCTGCCTTGCATCCATTTGCTGAAGTTGCTGCTGCCTTTGAAGCTCCTGCATCCTCATGAGCATAAATTGCTGCACTTGGATATCATTTGGCCCAGGCGACTGATGCTGCAAAGACTGCAGCATACTTAATTGCTGATGGTTCATCTGCTGTTGACCACCAAAAAAGTCAAAACCTACAGGGGGTCCAGACGTATCGGACCTAACTGAAGATTTTCCTTGATTTTCAGGAGCACTGACTTGTTGTGATCCTATAGTTCTCGAGGTTAGATTACGCTGATCGGAACTTGTATCCATTGACAGAAAATTTGTTTCATCTTGCCTCGTCTGGTAGAACTGATTGCCATACATGACATTGAAGTTTGGTTGATGGCTTTGCGTCTGACTCTTACCAAATTCAGGCCTTGGAGATGATTGAGCAAAGGTCAAGCCATGTGATCCATGGAATGGGTTACCAACCTGTCCTCTATCACTACCTGCTCATGAAAAAAAAAAAAACATATGTCCAATTGGCTATTAGAGAATCATCCAAAGAAGTTAGAAATCAACTACGAACAAAAGCCAAAAAGACAGGCTTTTATAAGCAATTGAGGAAAACTATAGGAGCTTAGGGAAAAAGTCAAAATAAAGTCATTCAAGCAGTCAATCTACTACTACCTGATTGCTGTAGATTGTAGTTTTTTGTGGTGGTACTTATTAGACCAACTTGTCTCTGGCTTCCAGGCCACAAATTACTACTTAAGACAGACCAATTCCCGTCCAGAGCTTGTGTATGATTCTGTCCCTGGGGCAAATTATCTTGTGCAAAAAAATTGTGAACTCTATCTCCAACTTCGTTGCCAGGCATAGATGATTAGAACCCAAAATCCTCGCACTTAGTGTGCTCGGCGTAAATCAACAAAATAATGATCTAACAAGAGTTTCAAGAATACTTCTCTATTACTCTGCTTATGTTGCAGCAAATAATTCATCAAAATAAAAAATAAAGCTTCATGACTGTTGTCCAAACCCAAGCATCAATCCGCAATCAATTTTCCAGCCTCAAAATGTCCTGACAAAAATCAGCCCATTTTTTTCATAAACACTCGACATGTTAAAAAATGACCGAAGAACATTAGAAAGACAATATAACCAGCAAAGCAAACAAGAATGAAAAGATGCATGATTCATTTAAAATACAAATTTGACAATTGAATTTGAAAACACAATTTCAGAAAAAGAATAGGAGAAATATAATCAGAGTTGTCTTGCATGATTCAGACCTTTGCAAAATAGCTTTTATGCTCTGTCCTCATAACAAAGTGCAATATACTGGTATCGAAGGTCCAGAAAAGGTGAAAAACCTACTTAAAATGATGAAATCTATCTTGCTGCTAAGCAGAGCAAGCGTGTATTCCAAGATTCCATGCTCAAGTTCTAGAAAAATTTATGCTCATCCTGTACAGCTGACACCATAATCAAAGATGCACATTCTAAATATATCCAAACTTCATGATGAGGAGATACATGACCATCTCCAGCCACTACTTTTTCTCCAAATTAAATAGCTACTCAACACCTCCATCATCATACATGTGCTTGCAAGCTTTCCCAACCTACTTGTAGTTCCATTACATTTAAAGAAAGTCATAAATCCAAGCATCATCACTCCCATGTCAAGCAAATTACATGATCCACTTGTTTACGTCACCACAAATAAATCAATCCGTTGTGGCACTTCACCACACAACTATTGGTATATTGCCAGACAAAAACAAAGGCGCTAGTTCCCATTATGAACCCTCATCTCTTCTCATGTGTACACTACTATGTTCAATAATCTGCAACATCTACTACAATAAAATAGATAACTAAAAGTCCATACTAGCAATAAATACTAGGAAATGGATTGGATTCATCAAATCTAAATTACATGTGTCGTAAATGCAGCAAATTTTATGAGGTATTTCATCCTTTACTGCAAGATAAAGATTCACAACCAGCCTATAAAAGGAACCACCATCGCATTTCTGTAGCACCATACAAAATGGTAAAACTTCATCTTTCCAGTTCTGAAAAGTAAAAACAAACTAAGAGCTACTAAAACTTCAAACTTAAAACAAATTTGGGTTTCATTATGCATTCCTACAAATTAACTTCTCCTACTACTCAAAAATTTAATTATAAAAAAAAAGAGAGAGAGGAAGAAACAAAAGCCATAGCACATTAATCAGATTACCAAAGTAGAAACCTTCTCAAGCGGAAGATGACAAAACTAAACCATGGCTTTAATTACTCATGGGGCTCTGACGAACCTATTAACCCTGACGATTCTACATTCGACAAATGCATCAACATGTCATGCAAAAAAACAGTCTCTTCTATCATCCTTAAAGTGAAGCACTCAAGGCCAAAAGGGAAAGAAGCCCTAAGGATGAAAATTGCAAAGCCTGAGACTTTACCAGTTAAACAAAAGTGTAACGATTGTCTAAGCTATAGTCCAGCCAAGATCAAAAAATCCACTTGCATGGCAATTCAAAAACGCAATCCCGAATTAAATCGAAAACTGAAAATGCAAAGCAATTCTCAGCTGCGGATAAGCCTTACCTAAGCCTAAAATGCTAAAACCCTCTCCAAAAAAAAGCCAATCAAATGCAAACACTGGTGTTTATCACTCAGCCAATATAACTAATTATATGCAAGAGAGAAAATTAGGGTTTGAGATGAGCACACGATTATACTGTGTAAATGAAAGCCAGAAACTTACGTGAATCTTGCGCGCGTGAAAAATGGAGCTGAAAATCGATCGTTCAAAATTGGGCAAATTCTAGGGTTTTTGAGTCGGGCGAGAGAAATGGGGGATGAGCTTTTTCGCTTTGAAGAGAGAGAAAGTAAGAAGTGCGTGAGTGTGTGAGAGAGAAAGGGGAAAATGAGGGGTTTTTCAGAGAGAAAGTGTGAGAGAGATAAAGTGATCTTAAAATAGAGTGCGAAATTTTCAACGAACTGCGAAAGAGCGAGCGAGCGATGGGACTGTAGGTTCGGGAACGAAGCTGAGCCTCGGGAAGAGGTTGGGTTTCATTGGTTACGCTGGGAAGAGATAGGACCTAGAGGGAATTAGGTGGTCCGGCAACTGAGTCGTACCATGGTGAGAAAGAAGGTGCGCACCTTTTTAAATTTTTGAGGGTAAGATTAAAATGGTCGCTGTTAACCCCCTAAAGATTTACCCAATCAAAATTAACTCCCACAAAATTACTTACTAGTACAACAAAGTAATATCTCCAGTCTTGGAATGCTAAATCCATACTTTTAAGCTGTATTTGCATATGTGATGATAGGTCCATTTGAATGATTTGTTTTTTGGAGAATTTATTTAAAATTTTACTGTAGTTCATTAAAGAAATTTTAGAAAAAAATTTTGTGTATTTGGAGGATAGTTGTAAAACTTCGTCACCCTCCACGCGTCACATACCTTGGTATCATCACCACCATAGTCCCCACCTCCACCGCACGATGCCGCTCTCCCCCTCACTTCCCCCACCACCTCTCCTTTTCCACGTCACCTCTTCTTTTACTCATTCTCCTCTATTCTTCCTCCCTTCAACCCTTCTCTTCTTGCCATATCACCATTTTCCCTCCTCCTTCTCTCTAGATCTAGTATTACCCAAATCTGAGGAGACGCAGAAGAGATAGATAGCGATTAGATCTCGTCCAAATCTAGGGAAGGATGGGGAAGGTGGTGGCTAGGCAAGGGAAGGGAAGGGAAGGGGAAATGAAAGAGGAGGAGAATGACAATGAGAAAAGGTGGCACGAAAAGAGAGAGGGGTAGTGGTAGAAATGATGGGGAAAAGTGGTGACTAATGGAGGTGGTGGCGAAGGCTAGGCGACAATGGTGGGAGGAAATGATATGGTAAGGAATGGTGGTAATAGGAGGAGGAAAGGAATGCGTTTTTTTAGTGTTTTGGCGATGTGTTTTTGATGTTTTGATGTATATATTATAAAATTTGAGGTGCTTTAATAAGTTACTATAAATAAAATTGTAATAAAATTTTATCTATTAAAAAACATGCAAAAAAGCCAAATAGTGTTGATGTATCAATGACTTATATTAGTTTTTTATTTACCAGAATAGGGTAACACAAAATGCAAAACTCATCATTTATCCATGTCAAAGTTAAATTGAAGAAAAATAAATGCAAGTGAACTTTTACTCAAGCGAATTCAATTGTGGAGTGCTAGAGAGATATAGTAATGTGTTTGTGTGTCTTTATATGTGTGCATGTGTGTGTGTAAAAAAAGAGAGAAGGGAGAAAATTGGAGATTATAAGGCAATATTGATAAACTCAGACCGGATAGCAATTTTGGTAGGATCGGTTAGACCAATCTAAAAAATCCGCTAAAGTTAGCATGATGTTATAATTATTTTATATCTTTATAAGTTTCAGAAATATTGAAATTAAGTTTTTGGTTATATTAGGCCAATCATGAAAAATTTTCCAAAAATATTGACTTGCAATCAAATATTCACCTAATAATCATATATAAAAATGTAAATTCATAGTTAAAATATGTCCATTCTCTAAAACAACTTGAAAAACTAAATTAAAACAAATTAATGCAAGTTAGAATCGCTGATGCTAAATTAATGAGATCATAGGGATGAAAACATCTTGATTTAGAAACCATTTAGGAAAGTGAGTGATTTTGATATTTACACTAAATGGGTGACGTTTTCTTGTTCTTATTAATAAATGAAAGTGTTACAATTTAGATAACTCAAATTATGTTTGGTTAAAAGAAGAAAGAAAAGTTTGAGAACCGAGTCAACAAATCGAATCGGGTTACTAGTTTAGTCGATTTTTTATGGTTTTTGACCAAAGCAGTTTTATACTACAAACCAGTTCGAAAAGAAGGTCGGTTTACAGTTGGACCAGATCAATCAGTTCAACCGATCAAACCAGTTGGTCCAATCCTGGTCTAACAACACTGTTATAAGGAGTTTTAGATAGAGAACGAAGAGCTGCAATTTTTGACCCTTAATCGGATAATAATATAAAAGTTCAATCTTCATAAAATTTTAGCTATAGGATCCTCTTACTAAACTGTTCACATCTATTGGTTTTGATTTTGGATTCTTCTTTATTTGACAACAAACTTTCATTATAACAATAGGATCCTCTTACCAACCCTGTTTATTTCAACGTTGTGTTTTTAGAAGAGTAATTATACTAGTTTCAATTTCATGATTGTGTTGACGTTTTAATCATTTGAATATTTTAGATAAAGTTTTCTGCTCCCATAATTTTCATTGTGGGAATTTTTTATTGGATTAGGTCCTGTAATTTTACCAAATTTCCTATTTCCTTGTTAAATATAGAAATGTTGATGTCCAACGTTTTATTAGTTTTCTCTTTATTGCTTTTTATAAATATCATTGCTTATTAATTTGATCGATCTCATTTAATTAGTACTTGGAGAAAGAGAATTGATCATGATTGTGGTTTGTTTTGATATTTGTTCACTTGGAATGTTCTTCCATTCCAACAACTAATGCCATTAGTATTGATAGGATTTATGAATAAATTAACCGATCTATGGAGTAATTGGCCGATCTTAGAAGAAAAGAAATCTAGTTTGGTTATTTTATGATAAAAAACATAATTCAGAAAAAAATGTTAGAGGATAAATTATTTATATATGAGTATATATTGACTAAAATGTTTGACTAGTTTGCTCCAAGGGAGATTATGGAGCTTTTTGATCCACGCTATATGAAGAAGTATACAATGCATGTAATATACATTAAGTTTTTGGTGTTATATTCGTATCAAGACAATCCACAACCTATTATATCTTGTTTTAACCCACTTGACCTATTCAACTTTATACGTGAAAATTATTAGTAAAGCATCCTTAAAAAATGTACTATATGTTTGTCCTTACTAAATTGTATGAAAAAGAAGAGTGCTTATAATTGTTTTTGTCTAAAATATTCAAATAGTAGAGAAAAAAGGGACACTAATTGTGACGGCCCCACCTTCCCCTAAGGCGTACCAAAGGGTTCGGCGGGTCGCCTGCCCAACTCTCGCCGGGACTCAGTCGTTCCTTAATCAAATTCGGAATACAACCAAAGAAATAACATACAACAATCCAAAACTTAAGTGAAACTTATATATACATTATTATCTCAAAAGGAAGTACAACCATCAAAGGTACAAAGGTTCTCATTTCACCATACAACCAGCCCGTGCCAAGCACTAGGGCGAGAACCATTACAAAAACAAAGAGTTAGACCAAGCTAGTCTATACTAAGCTCTCATCCTTGCGTGCCTTCCTCTGTTAAGGAAAACAAAACTAAAGGGATGAGCTAAGAGTTCAGTGAGGTTCCGAACACATAATCAAATAATCATTTCAATACATGAAACATGGAGTATCAATAATTCAAGAAACATTTACAATGGAAAGCGATAGTAACATATTCATTAAAAGGATATGGCTCACAAGGAGTAATTTGTTTGTTCGTTCGTTCTCCTGACATTTCCCTTTATTCCTCCAATCGTTTAAAAATACATTTTTGTAAGTAAAATCCCTCGTTTGTTCTTTTGTTCGTTCATTCACCCCTTCCCAGCCGTTGGCCAGGCTCCACCCATCCGGACGTTGTCCGGACTACAAGGTAATACTCGAGTATACCAAACGTTCACCCAGGTCACCAAATCGCCCGACCGAGTCCGCTTCTAACTCGAGTCGATCGGTAACAAGGGCAAGGGCCCAGTTCAGCCAGAAGGCTTACATTCATGCACAACTAATCGTTTGTTCAATCATTAAATCATTGAAAAGTTCATACGTATTTAGGTCGAGTGCGATGAAATACACACTCGCCCAGAAAACTTGTTTTGAAATCATGGAAAGTACTTAACACGTTATCAAACAATAACACAAGTCATGGAGTCAAGAATAATATAGCAAACAAGGAACACTCACCTATGTACGCAAAACAACTTGCAAAATATCCTTCCGGATATTATCCTTAGTCACCGAGAAAACCTAAAGTTAACGAGACAGAATATTACAGCTCATCCAGCACAAACAATTAGGTATTTAAAGTGAAACGAGGACATTTAGACCCGTAGACAAAATAATTAGGGTTTCGTAGACCAAATGTAAAACCAAACTCAAAAGGATTATAAAATTCTCCAATGAAAACACTTGAACCAAAGACAAGTCGGAATCCAATTAGATAGGCTAAGAGATACTGTTTTCGGAATCGTTTATATGGTTCAAAATCATCTCATATTCAAGTAGATTTTATAAACTAAAGGTCTTAATGAAATTCATGTAAAAAGGAGAACAAAATACCCAATAAAACCCTAAACCACTTCTCTTTATTTGGTAAGAGTAAGCAAACATTTGAAGTTTCCAATTGAAGAAGGATCATGTTTTAAGATGGAAAAACGGTCATAGTATTTGCCAACGAAAATATACAAGTTCAAATAGAAAATTAGTCCTAGAGCGAAAATTTGGGCAGCACGCCCTTTGTATTTACCTATTTTCCAGCCATTTATGGCTTCATTGTTTTCCTCAATCAATCCCAACATTACACACAACATAAACAGCCACTCAATATGCTCAAGACAATACAAGGACAAAAATTTAAGCTAACAACAAATGTGAAAACAAAGTTTACAAAAGACAGTTTTGACTGATTTTTGCGGAATGGGCACATCCGAGGCTACGCTTATCGGATTGAGGTGTAACTTATACCAGTTCAAAGCTAAGATAGGGGGCTACAAGGTTGAAGAAAGCCACTCAGTCCAGTTGGCAATGTATCTAGGTCAAATTTACCAAAATAACTCCAGATTTTCCAATTCGAAGTTTACTATGGCAGTCCTGAGTCATTCAGTCATATCTCAGAATATACAACTCCAATTCAAGTGATTCCAAAGCCATTTGAAAGCTAAGATACAAGGCTATAAGTCTTAAGAAGATATTGACAGCCAAATCAGTAGT